TATGCTCCTGTCGGTACATGAGGTTTCGTCGATCCATTGTGCGTCGCGCGAGCGCGCGTCCGCTAGAATCGCCCCAGGTGCGTTTTTGGGGTTCCGTGGTGGCGTACCAACAATCGGAACAGCCTTACCGTTTTCTCCGTGATTTTCGAGGTCGTCGTTCTCTACTCTGTTCACTGTGCCAGACATATTGACCTGAAATCGAAGATCTTGGACAAGAAAAAGTGTGAAAGATGACTTGCGTTGTGTAACGAAACCAGCAAGAAAATAATCACTATTATTTTTAGCCCCACGGTGGGCGCCAAACTTTTTACCGTGAAAATGGTAATAACAATTAAATTTGTTGATGGGACTCTAAAAATACGTGATCTATTTTTATGCTAGTTGTAAAGCAGTTGATGCTATGTGTGTGAAGTTTAAGGATGAAACGCGAGCTAAAACAGAGTAACAATCGGACTGATAAGTCAGCCGTTTGGGGCCTCGAGCTAGTCGATTTGGGGCCTCGAGGTTGATTCCCGAGCTCGGGCTCGAGCTATTAGGGGCAGTCGGGGAAGGGTTAACAGTTGTGAAATAATTAAAAGAGGCTCTTTATGGCCAATGATAAGCAATAAATGAAGAACAAGTACGAAGATAGTAAATAAGAGCAACAATATCGAGAGAGTGTGTTAGAGAGAAAAGAGAGAGAGAGTTATCATATATTTCATGTAGAATGGTTGGAGCAACATCCGTTTTTTACAAAATAGTAAAAATCCTTTTTATATAGAGGGGCAAAATCTTATACGGTACGACATACATTAATTGTAAGGATATGGACATGGGACAGCTAGATGTGACACCTTGATCTGGGTTCAGAGTAGGCCAGCTGGACTTCGTCAGACTTAGCCGTGTGTCTTGGGAACTCCCCATTTTTTACTCTTCCCTCGGTCGATATTCCCTTTGGGCCGGGCGTCGACGAGCTTCGAGGAAGGAGACTCGAGCGCATCTTTGCAGCCTCGAGTCTTCGAGGTGACCCTCCGAAATGCCTTAATGACGGGAAATTGGACCCTCCGATTTTGTTGTATACAGATGTTCAGGTTCCGGAACGACCGAAATGGTTCGAGGATATCGAAAAGACGCCGTCATATTGCTAGAATCTAAAGACCGTACCCAAGGGTTCGGTGATCAGATTTCTCTTTGATATGTCACAATCATAAATCCGCCTACCAGGCCCGATAAGAGGCGACCCCGGTAGACGGAGGGACTAACTGTATTAGTCAAAATCTGATCGCTGCAGTCGGCCTGACCAAGATCCCGTCCAAGAGATGAGATAGCTAAGGACGACATGGTTTGCTCCAAAACCCCGTACTCACAATGCCCGTCGTAACAAAGAACGACACTCAGGGAACGACGAAAGCGGACGTCGTGCGAGTTGTATCGACCCATAGTGAGAATTCCATAACTATATATAGGGGAAGAGTCTCTCAATGAAAGGGGGACTTTTTCTCTCTCTTATTTCTCCTCTGTAATCTTCTTGGAAAGAGGAGCCTTCCCATGGAAGACAAATATAGTGATCTTCATCGATTAACGAATGAAGAAATATAAAATATCAACAAGATTGATCTATTCCTATTTCATTGTATGCATTATTCTCCGATTCGTTTATAGATCTGGAGGTTATTAGCCTTGACTAAGATTTACCTTTTCATTTTCTTTGATTGATTTGTTCAAAAAGGTTTCAATATCTTTTGAATCAAACAATCTTCATACCATAATGTTGTTGCTACTGAAATAAAAAAAATTAGGACACCTTTGGTTCTAATTTGGAACCAGCATGGTAGTTTTCTTTTAAAATATTGAAGGTTGTGTGTACGTTCAAAATTAAAATTGTTTTAGAGTAGCCTGTTAACTAATTTTTTTCAGAATTATAAATTGGAGGTCCTCCATTGAAGGGTGTCGACGAAGATGTTGAGATTAACCAGAAAAGACGTCAGAATTAATTAGTAAATAACTTTCGAAAAGGAAGCAGTTTTGGTTAAAGTAAAACTAGGAGGCAATTTTGATTACAGTTAGGATTCTCTTGCCTTTAATGTTCTCTTTGTAAATTAAAACTAATTATATAAAATAAAAAACATTTGGTGGTTACCTTTGAATTATCTGATAGTGTAAAAAATTTTGTAGACCGACACTCTGACAGTGTGTAAAACTTTAAGCGATATTGAAATTTGCAAAATACATAGTTTATCCATCGATCTTGTACCCAAATCCATCTTACACACTTGTTCATCACGGGGATAATATTACACTCAAACCTTTAAAAGTGTGTCAACAACACACCACTTTTAACCAGTCCAAGTAATAGTCTGTGTTGTGTATAACACGCGCGTCTCTAAATTAAAAGGGCCATTTTAATCACCCAACCCTTTTAAAGATACGACCCGCTCAAATAAAAAAATCCAACTTTCAGTGCACCACCTTCCCCACCACTGCACCACCTTCTCCACCATTGCAACCCCTTCTTCTTTGTAAAAAAAATACTCTACCATAGTTAGCATAAAAACACTAGTTCCAACAACCAAATAGACACACAAACAATATATCCAAAGAACTTCACCGGCCGGAATTTTACTTGAAACTCCATCTCCGACTATCCTTCTTTTCTGGCATTATCTTTTAAACTCAATAATGATGAGCCAAAAGAAAATAACGAAAAGAAAAATTTTCATATATTTATTTGGCACAATTGAAAGAACCACAAAGGCCACTTTATCAACAAAATTCCAAAACAAAAAATTGAAAATGTAACTTCTTCTACAATTCTGCCCTTCTCACTGATACAAGTGCCACCAAGTATCTTTCGGAGAAATTTCGGATCTTGAGCAATCAAAAGAACAAGTAGAATGGGAGAAGGTTGAATCGGGGATGAAGCGAAAAATAAAGGGAGGGACGAAACCTTGGGGGGGGGGGGGAGGGAAGACGAAGGGGGAAAGGGACATAAGAAGACACACGGGGTGGGGGTTGGGGGGTTGGGGTAGTGGGGAAGGAAGACAAGAGCGGGAGGGGTTAGTTTTTCTTTCTCTTTTATTTGTTAATTGGTGTAAAAGGAAAAAAAACGTTAAAAATTAAGATACGTGGATTCTTTATAAAACTTTTAGTAAATAGAAATTTTACTAGCA